ATGTGCAGAGTGCACACAATTCGTCCATTCAGCTTGAATACAATTAGTTGCAACCTTTCAAACGTCTAGAATAAAGAGCCGTTCGTAATTAACTGCACAAGAGGAAGTCGGCGATCCCTGAAGGGAACAGGAATGGAATGTCTGCAGGAAAACCTTTCCTCCCTCCCCCATGAGACGAAAAACCTATGCGGACGCTTCCCATGGCGCTGCCGGGTGGGAGATTTGGACGGCAAAGCTCAGCTGCAGAACCTGCCGCTGAGGGGAAGCAGCGATGGCTGCCCGTTTGGAGGGCTTTGAAGGGGGACCGGAGAAGCGCAGCGGGGGAGAAGCTGCCCGTGGCCACGGGCTCGGCTGGCTCAGGGCCACCTCCTTCCCCAGAGACGGAGTGCCTGCGGGCGCCAGTGGCGGAGGAGCTGGGCAGGCAGAGGCCTTGTCCCCTCCTGCTGGGGCGTCCCCTGGGCAGCTGGCATGCCCCCTTTCGAAGAGCGTGCCGGCCTGGAGGGACCTTTGGCTTTTCCTGCGACCCAATCAAGGACCAGTTCGGGAATGCCGTCGCTGTGGGACGCAGTCAACCAACCAAGGGTCAGGACCATTTGAAGAAGGGGATAATGAGGAAGCCACGAATTTCACAAATTGCCTGAAAAACAGAACATGTAAGGAATGGGGTTTACTTCTGGGTAAACACACTGGAAGCGCTTACTGTAGGAGGTGCATTACTGGACTTGTAACGGGGGAAATGGTTTTCTCCAAATGTGGGAGCTCCACTGCAGTTCCTCTTCCACAGGCAGCGGAAAAGCAGCCCTGCCAGGTGCCAGCGGCCCCGGAAGACGCTCAGCCTGCTGACCGACAGGTGGCTTCTGGGTGGAGGCAAATCCCCCCAGGGCTCCCTTCTGCGGAGCCAAATTCCACACGCGGCAGCCCACCACGGGCCTCGAGACCACGTCCAGCACCTCCTCCGGGGCTGGAGCTGCTTCCAGCTGCGGGGAGTGGGGGGGGCAAGTGGGAGCGGAGGCACCTGCCCAGGACGGCTCCCCTCCAGGCGCCACAAAAGGCACCCGCTGGGCAGGTGTTCGGCTGCACAAGGCCAGGCGGAGCCCCGCTTCGCAAGCCAGCTGCTAGCACGGCCTGGCACCTCCAGGCGGGGCTGGAAAAGCCCCATCACACAGCCCCCGAGAGCCACTGCTGCCGGTCCATGGCTGGAGGGAGCGAGCAGGGCCTGGCTCGGCACAGGACAGCTCCTCACGCCGGCCGTTCGCCGACTCTGGGACCGTCAGCCGCTGCCTCCACCCTCGGGGGCGGCGTTCCTCCTCCCCAGGAGACGGGTGCCTCCTGCCTGCAAAAGGTGTGGGGGGGAATTGGTAGAGGAGGGGGCTGGGAGGCGCTAAACGGAAGGCCCCGTCCCGGTGCAGCAGAGCTGCGCATACCCGCGGCTCCAACGTGGGGCCCTCCTCTGCCGGCTGCCGCACAAGGTCCCCAAAACCCCAGAGGTGTGCCTGGGACTGGCCGGGCCAGCAGAGTCCCTCCCCGAGGCGCCACTTCCCCTCCCTGCGGCTCTGGCATGCCGTGGGGCCAGGGATGTGGGGCGGACCCCTTTTCCAGTGCTCCCGGTTTCTGTGGAACAGCTTTTGCTCAAGGTCACTGGCAGCAGGGAATGGATGCCAGCCGCAAGTATCACACTTGGCAGCCCGGGTGGCCTCGAAGTTGTTTTCCAGACAATTGTTTCCAGCGTGTGTTTGAGAAGCCACATTTGCCACGGAGAGACATGAAGGTCTCGGAGCGCAATGGAGTCGGTCGCGGCTGGCAAGGCAGGCCGGGGTGCCACGGAACCGCCGTGGGAAGAGACGGGCGCTTCCAGCCTGCCGGGCGCAGTTTCTTGGGCCTGCAATTAGTGTCAGCCGCCAACAGTTTCGGCACCTACTTCCCCCCTTAAATTTAAAAACACTGCAACGGAAACATGCTATTATCTTTCATTTTTTAAATTACAAAATTCTATGTAACATTTAAATCGCATTAAGCACGCTTTAATTTCTCCCTTCAAAATATTTCAGACTTGCGATGCACTGGGACAAAAAAATTACATGGGAAGTTCTTTTCCGCCGTTGCTTACTAAATACTAGAATACTGAGGAGGCTAAAGGAGGTTTCCTGAGGAGAAGCGGATGCTCCAGCCGGAGCCAGCAAGGCCAGTGGCAGGGGAAGATGGACCTTGTAGGCCAAAACCTCCAATCCAACCTGCGCGGGCACAAGTAGCCCAACGGAGACTCGGAGAGAAGCGTGTGCCTGGCTGGCTGCCTGGGGGAAACCTCGCCTGGGGGAAACCCCTTCGCCGGCTGGGCACCCATCCCGGGCCCGGATGCGCGATCCCCGAAGGCAAGGAGCAGGAGAAGCAACTCCGCGGGCCACGTGGGTTTCTGGCAGAGGAAACCTTTGCAGGTCGCTCCTGGACCGCTCGGTGGTCCGGCCATCACAAGACCACAGCAGAACTCACAACCGTGCTTGCGGCCACGTGCTGCGAAAGCACAGCCGGGGTACGGCCTCGGGGTGCTGATGTCCGCAGCCAAAGGGTGCTTCCGGGAGGTATGTGCTGGCCTGACCCTTCTCCTGCCCCCTGCCCTGACCGGCGGCCGAAGCAGAACAAGACCCGGGGGGTCCTGGGTGGGAGATCCCCTGCCCCCCCGGCAAACCTGGTGAGTGAGGCAGGGGGAGCTCAGGCCGGTCTTGCCTGCCAGCGCCCCGCTTGCCGGGAGTCCGGGCCGCATGGCTGGAGCAAAGGGACCTGATCGGCACGACGATCCCAGGCAGGCAGCATCTGCAGAGCTCTGGCCGCTGGGTTGCAGCCGTTTGGATGCACGGCCTGCAGCTGCCCCACCGACCCTGAAGCGAGTGGGGCCCCCAGTGAGGGGGTCCTGCAGCTCACGGCCAGAGGTGGCCTGCCCTTCACGGCCAGCTGCACCCGGCAGTCCGGGGTGAGTGGGAAAGCCAGGGGCAGCCGAGTGTGTTGGGGGGGTGGGCTGGGGGAGGTCTGTGGCGAGGGACGGAGGGTGGAGCCCGGCCTCCCTCTTGCTCGGGAGCAGGAGCGAAGCACCCAGGAGCCGCACGTGCGCCTGTTTGGCCCAAAGGCCAGCTCGTCGGGGGGAGCGGGGAGCAGTGCTCCCGGGAGGGCCGCGGTGCGAGCCACCGACACGGGCAGGGCTGCCTGCCCCCACCCCCCAGAACACCCTCCAGGAGGGGAGGCCAAGCCCTGGACGCGGCCTCTGGGCAGGACACCCCGAGCAGCCTGGGAGCGCAGCTAGTAATCGGGGTGCAGAGCGGAGATTTCCGTGCTCCAGAGGCCTGATCCTGCCCACTGGAGCGTGGCCCCTCTTGCCTCGGCACTCGTGACGGCTCACGGAGGAACCACGCGTGCTTCCAGTCCCCCTCCCCTTCTTGACGTGGGGCCTGCTCACGGGCACAAGAGGAATCCCGAAAGAGGCGGCACAGCCCGCCGGAACCAGGCCAGTTTCGTGCGGTCGGTGCAGGACGCCTCCGCCCGCCCAGCAGAAGGGGGACCGGGCCCTGCCGGGGCAAGCACCCAAAACCGCCCCGGAACACGTCACGGTAATAAATCCAGGCTGGATGAAATGCAGAGACGCGGAGGACGTGCAAGGTAGGAAACGACAGCTTCATTAGTAAAAAATAATGAACAACCTGTGACTATTCCATGTCATATAAAAATAAGCCATATATAAAATCAAACAGTTTGGCATGGCACAGCTGGGGCACCAGACGGAGCACGAAGGGAAGGAATCGTGCCGTGCGTGACGGTTCATTTGCTGAAGCCGTGTTAATACTTCTGGATGGGGCCTCCAAACAGAAAGGAAGGATGAGGCAGCGGGGACGGGGCGGAGAAACCCAGGCGGGGTTGGGAGCAAGGTCTGCAAAACTGCAGGGGGGGGAGGAGGGCAGGTAAGGGGGCTCCCCTCCCCGCAGAATGTATAGCTCAGGGCAAGGTGGGCAACCTGCTCCCTGCTTTCCACCCAGCCCAAGGCACTTCTGGACAGCCTGTGGCATCTTCACAGGCTCCAAATCTTTCTAGACCTCATTGTTTCAGAAATGCATCCGAAGGTGTGAAAGCCAAACTAACAGGAAAACAAAGCAGGGCCGACTGCTAGCGGATTTTCTACTCTGTTCTGAAGAGCAACCTTAAAATGGTTATTTTTAAAAATCCAGTCGAGAAACGTTTCGGAAACACTGGTAACATGACTCGTTGTGCAGCTGCCAGAGGACCCCCCAGGTGCCACATTTTAGTATTCGAAATGCACAGACGGGCGGCAGTCCTTCAGCTTCTAACACATTGCAAGATGCTGAATCAACGCATCACTTCTAGCCTCACTTCTAGCCTTCTAGAATTTTTCCGAGGTGCTGCTGGTCAGAGGGTCTCACACCATTCGGTCTGCAGAGCGCACGGAGCGGGGCCCAAAGTGGCTCCAAGAATGGGACCACAGCCCCCTGTCTCCTGGGGGGGCGCGCCCACGTACGTGGCCTGAGGGCTCCGTGACCGGCACCGTCCGGTGAGCGACCGCACCGGTGAGCGCGCGGTGAAGAGCGATTTCCTAGCCCCGGCCCACCTCAAACGGACTGCGCTTTTGCGAGTGCGGTTTGCAACGTCACCGAGGGCCATTTCACACATTCCGAGGCGGCAAGCTGTGCGGGGGTCGCAGGGCAACACGCCGTGGCCCTGCGCACTCCTGCGTGACCCGCTGGCTGGCACCCACACGCCACGTGCCCCACTCCCTGGTCCCCAAGGAGTCCCCCGGTCTTGGCCATCAGTCCCCCAAAACGTAACGTGTGAAAGAGCCCTGGGCGACCCCACACGCGAGTTATTTAGTGAGCTGCAGGCACCCCCGCACCTGCCGGGCAAGGCCTTCTGGGGACGAGGGCCCGGCCCCCAGTGGCTCCGGAACGCGGAGGGGGCCAGCGGGCGGCGGGCAGCCCTGCGGCCGGAGCGTCCCGTGAGCCGCCTCCTCCGCACGGGGACGGCGCCGCCTCCTCGCCCTTCCTTCCGCGGGCCTCTGCTGCCGGCTCGCGCGCCTGGCACGGGAATGACCGTCTCGGGGGGACAGTGGCGGCTCGGCCTCAACAGGAGGTGGCGCCCGGACCCAAAGCAAAACATGGCGATGCGCTGGAGGAGAGTCAGGGCGGGGGAGCTGGGAAGCTGTCCAGAAGCAGGTGCGACCGCCGTGCCCGGCGGACCGGAGGCGCAAAAGAAGAGAAAAACCGCACGGGCTCAAGAGGAGGCACTGTCTGCAGACACGGCGAGGCTTGGAAACGGCTTGCTCCCGGGAGCTCCTCGCACGGAAGGTCTCCGGGGAGAGTCCCAGCAAAGGCTGCTACGGAAGGGAGCCAGTACCGACAGAAACGTCTCGCTCCCGCTACTGCTTACAGCGGTAACCTACAAAGAACAGAACGAAACAAAAAGGCAGAGAGCTGTGAGGTCAGCAGCGTGCACGGCTCTCTTCTTCTTCGTTTTTGTAACCCGGCCCCCTTTCTGTCCCTCCTCTTTCGGGAGGGAAGGCCCTGCATATGCCACAGCTGCCCGCTCAAACCGGATCGTTGCAAAGCACCCGAAACCACAAACGGGGTTTGCTGCTTCCACGCAATCGGTTCAGGTCCCCGGTCGTGGCAGATGACGCCGTACACGGCTCGGGACTGGAACAGCTGGTGGGGCGAGTCTCCCCTGCCACGCACCTGCTTGGGGCTGACAGCCCGCTCCTGAGGCCCTCGGAGGGGGCCCGGGGGCAGCGCCAAGGCGGAGGGCCCGCCTGGGGGTGGCCCCCCAAATGTGGAGCTCCCTCGCCAGTGAGGGCCTTCCAGCACCAACACCGACATCTTCCTGATGCCACGCTGAGGCATCCCTCGGCTCGCAAAGGCCACTGTATGCTGGGACATTTCAGGTGGGCTTAAAAAAGGGTCCTGCTAGTTTTATTGTCAGTTGTTTTAACCTGCTTTTCATCTGTGGAAAATTGTTGAATGCTGCAGGGTTTAGACTCAGCTTTAACAGGCTGTGAAAAGGACCAACATTTAACGGATGACTCTGTGAAGGCGGCAAGACGCCCCACAGCCGGCAGAGCGCCCCCACCCCACCCGGGTCCCGGGCCCTCAGTTGGGGCCAAGTCTCGCCACCGGGCTCGGGCCGTCTTGGGGCTGTTCCCATGCTGCCAGTGCCCAGAAAAGCTGCGGCACCACGGCGGAGATGCCACCGCAGCACCTCCCCGGCTGAACGCGGCAGCCCCTGGGCTCGAGCTTGGGCCTGCCCCCACGGCCCCCTGAGCAGAGCCGCCAGCTGCAGCCCACCCTGGAAATGTCCTCGTTGGCACAGGGGCCGTGCCGTCTCCCCGTTTACCGCCTCCTGCTCAGCTTTTCTGCGCGTCGGAGTCGCTTCCCCAGCCCCCCGTCCTCCCCCCTCTCTCTTCTCCCCGGGTTAGCCGCTTCCAGTGCTCACATCCTCAGGACTCGCGGCGGCGGTGGCAACAGCTGCGGCTGAGCTCCCAGGAGAACAAAGCATCGGGAACGCAACGGCCGTGGCCACTGAAAAGCGGGCCTGGATCTGGTCCCTGCTGAACGGGAGGCCAGCCCCACCGTCGCACGTGCAGCGAGAGGGCTGGCAGGGCAGGCTCTACCAGGCACTCCCCCGCATTTGCCTGGGCTGGCCGACCCAGCCTGGCCCTCTTCCCTGTGCCGGGAAAGGCGTTTCTTGACAGAGAAAAATCCCGGGGGGGGGGGGCACACCGAGCACACACTGAGCAGCGGCCCGTTTCCAGGGCGGGTCCGCTGGGCTCTGCCTGGCCCATCTTACCATGTCGGTTTATCGCTCCTGGCTCGGTGGGCTTCGTGGCCTTCCCTCGACCTCGGGGGCCCCAGCTCATGCAGGTCACGCTGCTGGAAGGGGAGAGAGAGCGGGTTGGCCTGGCTGGCGGGGCTCGGGGCATCCGCTGCGCGTCCGGGCAGTGAGGCAGGGCGGGGCTCCCGGCCCCGAAGTCCGGCTGCCAGCCATGGCAAGCTGGCTCGCGGATGGGGTCGGACTTGTCTGGGGAAGGACAGCCATGGGCAGAGCCCTCCCTGCTGCGGCACAGCGCAGGTTCGCACCCCACAGGGTGCACCCGCAGCCACCTGCCTGCCCGCCCAGAGACCCCCTCTGGACGCACGCCGTCATCCTGCACTTCTGGCCCTGAATTGCACTGGGGACGCTGGAATGCGGGGCCAGCCCGGCCGGGCCAGCAGCGCTGCCTGGACAGAGCAGCAGACGGCCACGTGCAGCCAGAGCCCCCTTGTCTGTCTGTCTGCCTGCCTGCCTGCCTGCCTGCCTGCCTGCCTGTCTCTGAGGAGGGATTTCTCCGCCCTCTTTTCCTTATAAATAAGGAGTTTTGCGGGTTCCACTTTCATTGCGGCACACAGCCCCATGCACCAAACCTACGTTGCACCTTCATACTCCCTTCCTCCCGTCACACCAAGATGCCCAGACCAGCCCAGATTGGAAACTCTGCTGCCACACGGGTGATGCACACCTATGTGAGTCCGAACGCTGTGTGGCCCTGACACGACAGGGGTCCGGGAGACGCTTCCCCCGGATGTGTCGGGGAGGAACTGGGCCCTTCCACAGGCCGAGCGGGACCCTGCCGCTCAGCCACCACCCGAAACCGGGGGCTGGAGCAGCCGAGCCAGCAAGTGCCACCAGCAGACCAGCGCCTGGCCAGGCCTAGGACAGACTCCGGGTCGCAAGTGCCCGCAGCTGCGGAGCCAAGAACTTTCACCTCCAGCACAAAACATAAAAGGTGAAGGTGAAGGTTTCCCCTTGACGTTACGTCCAGCCATGCCTGACTCTCGGGGGCGGCGCTCACCTCCGTTTCCTGGCCGAGGGAGCCAGCGCTTGTCCACAGACGGTCTCCGTGGCCATGTGGCCGGCATGGCTAAACACCAAAGTGCACGGAACGCTGCGACCTGCCCGCCCAAGTGGCACCTGTTTATCCACCTGCACTTGCATGCTTTCGAACTGCAAGGTTGGCAGGAGCTGGGACGGAGCAGCAGCAACTCACCCCGTTGTGCTGATTCGAACTGGCGACCTTTCGATCTACCAGGCCAGCAGCACAGCGTTTAACCCACTGCGCCACCTGCAGTCCCAGCACAAAACATGCTTCAAAACAAAATCCGGGCAGCGAAGCGGCGCAGGAGTGGGGAAGATTCCTGCTCGGTGAAGCAAATGCCTCTCCCGCAGCAGCACGTGCCCCGGCTTTTCAGTGGCTGCTGAGCTTCCGCAGCCCACGCACAGTTAAAGGGGGCAGCTCAGGCCAGACAAAGCCCCCTTCGTCCCCCGCCCCCAGCCTGACCAGGCCGGACCCACCTTCCGGTCGGGCTCCTGCTTTTTCTTCTCCGAGGCCTTCTCTCGCTCCTTTGCTCTTCGGTAAGCCTTCTTCTCCTCGGCCATGAGGAGGCGGGCGATCTCCTGGGAGGGAAACACGGAGCAGGTGAGCCGGAAGACACACGACTCGTGACCCAGAAAAGCTGCCGCTCCGACCTGGCGGGGGAACCAAGCCCACACAGACGCCTCTGCAGGAGGGGCCAGGGCCGGGATGAGCAGCCCGGCATCACCAGACCCACGGCTGATGTTCCCCCGCCCCCTCATTCATCTCTCTCCCCTCCGAAGCGTGCCCTTTGCACAACGGATTTTCCCGAAGGATTCCCTCACACTCCACGGGCCGGTTCACACATCACAACAGCCACCGGGCTGGTTTTATCGCCCACCAGGAACGAGCGTCTCTTGGCTGCCGTCCTGGGTCCCCGGCCCCCGCTGCTGCTGCTGGACCGTAGCACCGTCACGGGCGATTATACCCATGGGGAACTCGCAGCGGCCAGGTCCGCAAGCAACGGCAAGCCCCAGCCCCAGCACATGCTGCAGCGCACTGCGGACCGTCTGATTGCGCACCTGGGCCCACGCCGCGCACTGGTTTCCCCCCAACAACCTCCCGCCACTGCTCGCACAGTGACGGCCGCTGCAAAGGCCCCCCGTAGCTGCAGTGTTTCGATGTTCCCATCGCGCACCAGTTCCAGGTGCTTTTTAAGCGCCGGCCGTCCGGCCTGGGGGGCTGCCCTGCTAGCCTCTCGCCACCCCGCCCAGCCAGGAGAAACGGCACCGGCCACGCTGCGCCAGCCCACCACGCGGCAGGGCCGGAAGCCAGGCAGGGTCCCAGGGAGCCCTGCCGGAGGCCGCCCGGGGGCGCCCGCGTCTCGCGCACAGGCCGGTGCGGAGAGCGTCCGAGTCCAGCCCTGCTCATCCAGCAAGGAAACACATGACGCAGCCAGGGAGGGCACGGGCAGGCCAGGTGTGAAAACATCGGCTCAGGTAAGCACAGGGAAGGGACAAAGAGGACGGTGGGAGAGCAAAGCCTTCTGGAAGGCAGCGATGCCCCACGATGCCTACCTCGTCCTGGGCTACCTGCGCAGCCCGCCTGTCCGCATGGCTGGCCTTCAAAGAGAGGGAGCAAGACGGAAGTTAGAGCCCCAGCGCCAAGGGAGCAGGTGCTGCTGAGCGGGGGCCCTTCCGCGCACCCCCCCCCCCCCCCGGGGGGCCCCCCCCCCCCCCCCCCCCCCCCCGCTATGAGGCCCTCCCTGCCCGGTCCGCCCTTCGGCCTCCCTCTCCCCACCACGCCATGTGCACGGCCTCCCCCCGGCCTTCCAGCTGCCCCCGCCAGGCTGGCTGGTGCCTTCCGGCGCCCCAGGGGATCCGATCGAAGGCTGGCATCGGGGCTCCCCTTGCCCATACCCCGCTGCCCGCGTTCGCAGGCAGCTTCCTGCTGAGGAGCAGCCTCGTTCCGGTGGGGAACGCCGCAGCGCCCCAGAGCATCCCGCTGGGAGGAACGGTTCCCGTGCCGGAAGCCCTGTTGCAAAGCAGCCTCCAGGGCGAGGCCAGGAGTGCCCACGGGTGCTCGCACCAGCCTCGGGGGGCTGAGGCCCCGGCCTGCCGCTGGCGGAGGCCAACCCGTGTTCCCAGAGGCGCCGCCCCTCCTGCGGGAGCACCAACCAACCCGCCCGGCTCACCAAGAGCTCCTCCTCTTGCAGCCGCCGGGCGATCTCGGCGTCGTAGGACTCCTGGTCCTGGGCTGCTGCTGCGCGGGGCACGAGGTGAACAGCATCTTTTGTCCCCCTTGATTTTGTCCCTGCGAAACGGCAAGGCACATTTCTCACTCCTGGAAAGTAAAGACTGCGAGGCCCAAATCCAGGGCGACCCGACCGTTTCGAGCGCCGCGCCAGGGTAGCACCTTCGCGCAAACGACGCCGGCCGGCTGAAACTTTGCACATCTCGTTCTACCTTCAGTCACCTTTGGCTGCAGGATGGAGCGGTGTGCGGCCTTTAAGCCGGGGTGAGGCAGCCGGGCCCCCGGCTCGGGGGCCGCATGCAGCAGTGGCCCTGGCCAGAGGCCACGTGCGTCCAGTCTGGCCCAAATCCCAGAGACACGGGCCCACGCCAGCTCCAGGCGCTCGCTGCCAGCGCCGGAGCCCCAGAAGCGGCACTTCACCTGCTCCAGATGGCCGGGAAAAGGGGGACCGGCCACCCAGGGACCCGCGAGGGCGTGGCTGGCTCCATTGGGCCCCGGGGCAGGGGACCCACGCCAGCTTCCCACCTCGCTCCTTCAGCACGGGATGCTCTGCCATGAGACAGCCCGGTCCCCAGACGAGGGTCTCGTCGCGGCTCTGCCTGCAGCGCTGCAAACGCCGGCCAGCCCCGGGGTGAGTCGCAGGGCTTCCGCATGCACACGGCCGCGGCTTCCACCACACCCCGTGCAGGAGCTGGGGCGGGCCCTGCGTGGAGCACGGCAGCAAGGACCGCGGGCAGCCTGCCCGGAGGCTCCCATCCTCCCCGGAAAAGGGGCAAATGGCGGGTCCGAGCGGCCTCTCAAGCCCAAGGCCAGCCGAGTGGAGCAAGCCACCCAGCACCTCAGTCTGGAGAGTGCCCTTTGCTGGGGCCTCTCACGAAGAGGCCCTGTGTGCCCAGGGCCCCGTCAGGCACCCCTGCAGATCAGGGCACCACCCAGCATTATCCTGTGAGCCCAGCAATCCTGGGGCGCTCCGGCAGCCCGGAATATTTGGGGGGCAGGGCCCTCGCTGCCTCCCTCTGGCTTCCAGCAGCCTCTCCCCCGGCAGGCGAGTGTTTTCACGCTGCACACACCCAGCCAGTGCGCCGAGTGGCCGCTGGGTGCTCAGAGCCCCAGGGTGCTGCCCCCCTCTGGCCTGCGCACCCCCCACCCAGCCCCAAACAGCGAAACAGCCAGGACCCAGGCAGCATCCGGAGAGCAATCTTAAGCCGCACAGCCTCACGGAAAAGGCCCTCCACACCTGGCGGCCCCAGCTGTGCTGCCAGGCTGTGCCACCTGGGAATGATGGGCATGGCAATCCCACACATTTGGGAAGGGTGGCTTGGCATCTACAGAGCATCTTGCAACTAGATTAAACAGAGGGGCAGAGGGGCCTAGTGGTGAGAGTGTTTGGCGGGGACTCAGGAAATCCAGGGTCGAGCCCCTGCCGAGTCAGGGGCCTTGGGCCCCCCTGCCTCAGGGGCAGTTGCTCTGGCACTAAAATGGAGAGGAGGCGGACCCTGCGAGCAGGAGGGCGAACGGCGGGGTTGCGTGCAAGGCCCCAGCAACAGCAGCGGCACGAGCACCTGCTGCTCCCGCCTTCATGCTGCAGGCAGGCAGACGTGACTCGCAGGTGAGCGCCCCCTGCCCACCTGCACTCAGTGGGGGAAAGCAAAGCCCCGGACGGGAGGGGACCCCAAAAGGGGCCCAGCAGGGACTGTGCCTGGCGGCTTCCAGAGCCGCGAGCCTTGCTCCGGGCGACGGCAAGGAGCAGCCGGCGTCTCGGAGAAAGGGACAGCCTGACTCGGGGGGCTGACCAGGAAGGCCCCCTCTGCTTTGCCGCCTCCCCCATCCGCTTCAGCGAGACTGCGAGTCGGCGCAAAAGCGGGGAGGGAGGCTGGCTTTGGCCCCTGCTCGCTGCACCCCACTCCGGCTGGAGGCCCCCCCAAGCGCCCAGGTCAAGCCACGTGCGGCCCTGCAAGAGGTGCATGAGCTGAGCGCCCTGGCAGAGCGAGCCAGCCTCTGGGGAGCGGAAGAGCGCTCCGCTCCATGCAGCCGGGACAGGAACCGCGGCGCGGGGCCCCCCCGGGAACAGCTTCCCAGCTGGCCGCCTCCTGGTCCGGCTAAAGAGACCCCGACTGTCCCACCCGCCTCACACTCGCCAGGCCCCCCCTGAGGTGGCGGGCAGAGGCCCTTCCGCCAAGCCAAACCGGTGACGTCCCTCCTGTCAGGAGGCACCGGAGCACGTGCCTGGCGGAAGCGGAAGCGGAAGCAACACGGCCACATTCGGAGAGAGTCCCAGTTCCTCCTCCACATCTGAGCAGCCTCCCCACGCCAGCAAACCTCCCCGGAGCAGCCCGGGGCTTGCCAGTGGGGTGGGTGGGGGGCGGAGGCGGAAATGCCCTGGGCTGCATGAAGCAGCTGCGGGGACAGGGCTGGGCCCCCGGAATGCGCGCCCCAACGTCACGCCGAAAGTGGGGCGCACGGCAACATCTGGCGCACGGAAGGAGCCGGTGGCCGTTCAATAAGCAATCCTGGAAAGAAACTGGCGCCCGCTCGGCGCAGAAGGGGCAGGCGAACGGGGCTTGCATGCGCCTTGTGCGCACGCCTGGCAGGGCCCAGTCACGACGGGCAGGCCGCCGCGAGCAGCACCCACGGGGAGATGAGACACACGAGCTATTTCAGGCCCGGAAGGCGCTGCGCACGCAGCAGAGCAGAGGCGGGAATGGAAAGATACGGCCGGGCCTTGCGCTAATTGGCCCGACATGGCAACGAGATGGCCTGAGAGCATCCGGGCGCGGGGGAAGGCGAGGCAGCCCCCGACGGGCCTCGCAGGGCAGCCCAGTTGTGGCTGGGGGGCCGGCGAGCAGAGCTGGGCAGGGGGCCAGTGCACGAGCGAGGCCCCAGCAGAAGGGGGGCAGGCAAACTGCGTCCTCCAGATGCTGGGACGAGACCCCTAAGTCCCAGCCAGTGGGGCTGAGGGATCCTGGCAACCGCCGCCAGAACACCTGCAGCGCACCCAGCCGCCCGCCCGCCCTGCACCTGCAGGGGGGGCCGCAGGAGGAGCGACAAGCGGCACCGTGCGGCACAGGGGGCCCATCTGGCCCGCTCCTGGCAGGATGAGGCGAGGGGAGGGTGGGGGGCTCTGTGGAGCCCCCGGCCCCTCCTTGAGCCCTGGGGACGCCTAAAAGACCCAGTCGATCGCTGGAACTCCCCACGAGGCGGTGATGGCCGCTCGCTTGGGGGACTTGGGAAGGGAGGAGGGGGTGCGTGACCATGAGCCGCACAGCACAAGGAAGCTCCCCGCAGCTTCCCCCTGCCACTGAGTGATGGTTGGGGGGGTCCACGCAAGCCCAGCGCCCCCCACTTCTGCCCCCCACCAGCCAGCAACTGCCTTCTCCCTGGGAAATGCATCCGAGAGCTAGCAGCAAGGACGAGTTCCAGCTATGGGCCGCGAGCAGACTCCCCAGCGAGGCGCCCGTGACGCTTGGCCCGCAGTGCTCCCAGGCCCCGCGGTGGCCCTGGCCCCAGGGCACAACGGAAGCTGTGGCCCAAGCGCCTGCAGGGTCCCGGCCAGAGAAGGCAGCCGCCAGGACCGCTCGGCCCTCCTCACCGTCTTCCTCGTCGGCCTCCGGGGATCGTGCCGCCAGGACTGACCCGACCCGACCCGAGCCACCTCCCTGCCGTGAGCAGCGGCCCCGAACCATCCCTGGGATCCTGCCCTGAGCAGGGGGTGGACTTGATGGCCTTGCGGGACCCTGGCGGCGCTCTCCCTGCTAGATTCTGGGAGGCACCCTCGAATCGCAGGCTGCCCAAGGCTGCGCCGATGGCGGCCTCTGGGAAGGCGGCCACTTGGACGCACAGTGCGGACCGTGGGTTTTCCTGCCATGGACAAGCTCCCCTCCGGGCACTGCGGGTGTTTCGGTTCTGGGCTTTCATCCATCTTTATATCTCTCTGAGCGAATATAATGCGTACTACAAAGCAGTTTAACGCACTTATTTTTTAACTGCTTAGTTTTTTTAAAATGAGGTAAATGGTATGTAAATCTTCTAAATCAAGACTGTGACCGCAGTATGAAAGAAAGCTGCAGCAGCAGGCGCGAGCGGCACCCCGGGGCTGCTCTTGGGAGGCAGGGGTTCAGCAGGGCCTCTTTCAGGCTGGGGGAGCAGATCAAACTGTCGCTTGCACATGATGCCCCAGTGTGGCATAGTGCTTCAGAGGAAGGGACTGGGACTCAGAGGATCCGGGTTCGAGTCCCCGCTCAGCCATGGGGCCCAACTGGGTGGCTCTGGGCCAGTCACAGGCTCTCAGCCCAGCCTACCTCGCAGGGTGGTTGTTGTGGGGATAAGATGGAGGAGGAGAATGGTGTAAGCTGCCTTGGGCCCTTTGTAGGAAAAAGGCAGGATATAAATGGCAATATAAATAAATAAAATATAAATCCATAGGCACCAGGGACCCAGCCCAGTCCGGGAGTTGGCCCAGACAGGAGCAGTCCTCCTCCTGCCCAGAAGGCGCAAATACTGGAACATCTGCCTTGCCCCCCTTCACGCCCCCCTCGTCCCTGTGCTCTGCCGACCAAGCCGCAGCGTGGTGGGCGGCCGAAACGGGAAGGGCTCCTGCCACCCCCACCCCCACCCCAAGCTGTGAAGCAACAAGCAGTTCTTGCCTCGGAACGAAGGCGACTGGGCCGCCGCAGCCAAAATCTGACCGTGATATTTTGCAGAGATCACCTCCACATTTGCATCTAGCGGGTTCCCGGTCCTCATGTGTGCTCCTCCGCACGCTCTCCCTCTCTGATGCACACGCACAGACAGAGTGTGGATCTGCTTTCTGCCGCTCCAGAACGCATAAGCAGGAAGCGCTTCCACATTAAGGCAGCCGCCGAGGTCTGTGGGTTTTAGCGACGAGCCGGCGTGCTCCGGAGTCGGGCACAGAGCGCCCCGCCACCGCCACCCGGTTACCTGGACTGCGCGGGTATCCCCGGGGGGACTCTCGGGAGGGCGCGCCGTGTAGCCCATCGCTCGCTCCGTCACGCTCTCCTTCTGTGTCCCGCCTGTGCCCTCGCCGGGGGGCTGCTTCTGAGTCCGGACGCCTGGGGTCCCGGGAGGGGGGCCTCGGGGAGGGCCGATCCTCTCGGGGCAGGCGCCCCCGCCGGTCTGGGGTGGGCGAGCCACCACCGCTGCCGCTGCCGTGTCGGTCAGAGCGCCTCTCCTCTACGTCGCCCACCGGGTCTGGGGGCCTCGGAGCCTTCTCTGGGCCAGGCGACCACCTCTCCCGAAGCCGACGGTCGCCGTGGCCGACTTCGCCCTCCCGGTCTCGCAGAGGGGGCGGCCTCTCCCGGCTGCGTGGCCGCCTCTCCCGGCTGCCTCCGCCACCCCGGGCGGGCGAAGAGGGCCCCAGGGGTCTCTCCCGGCTGGCTGGCTTCCTCTCCCCGCCACCTCTGGTCCTGGCTTCACCGCCGCTGATGCGCTCATCGGCCACGTCTGCAGCGAGCTTCCGAGGCTTCTCCCGGCTGCTTGGCTGCCCGTCCGGCTTCTCTTTGCCGCATCTCCGGCCACTGCGGGCCTTCCTCACTTCAGAAGAGCTGCCCAAAACCTCCAGGTCAAGCCCCTCCGAAAGCAGTGGGGGGGCCCTCTGGCGGTCTCTCGCCCGCCGGGCGTGAGAAGCCGCCTGCTCCGGGGCCGGCTCCCGGGGGCTGCGGCACGAGCGCTCTGGGCAAGGGACGGAGCACACAGACGAGGCCGGGGTTAGTGGCAGGGGCCAAGGGCAGGCACAGGCCTGTGCAACGGTGCGCAACGGGGAGCAGGACGAAGGCCAGGGGACACATGGCAGGCGGGCAGGCACCCCCCGAAATAGCAGCAGAGCAGGCAAGATGGAGGAAAGCACGAGGACCACCGCAAGGCACCCGAGGTTAGGGCAAAAGCCATGCGGCGCAAGAGGGCAGCAGCGAAAGCCGTGGCACGTCCACCCCCATGCCGCCTCCTCCGACTGGCAGCTGCTTCCCAGGATCACAGCAGGCAGGGGACCACCTTGCCATCTGCCGCCGGTCCTTGTCCTCTGGAGGTGTGGGAGGCTGAACCCCGGGCCTTCCTCGCCGTCTGTCCGGGCAGGGACCGTCTGCATTCGCTGGGAGCAGCTCTCCGGGTCTCCAGGCAGGACGTCTTTCCTCGCCAGGCCCAGAGGTTCTGCTGGGGATCAGATCCGGGGCCTCCTCCACCCGTCGGGGCATGGCCTTCCTGGCTGCGAGGTGCAGGCAGGCCACCAGCGCGCCGAATTCGAGGGACGCCCCGTACAGTGGAAACGGCACGGGAGCTGGCCCATCCCTGCCATGGGAGGAAAGGCTCTCGCTGCGAGCTCCCCACCCCAGAACGCTGCCCAGGCAGCAGCGCTGCACGTGGAGGCCCCTCCCAGGCTGCAGCAGCTCCCCAGGGGCCCTCCCAGGGACCCCACCAAAAGGCAGCTCCCGCACCAGGAAGCTTGGCTCTGCATGGTGCTCACACCGCGCCCCTGGGCCGTTTCCCCGCAGCTGAAGCCCCGTGTCCTGGAGAGGTGCAGCTGAAGCAGCACGGCAGGCAGGACGGCCACCCCGCGCTCCGGGCGGGCGGGGGGCCAAAGCACCCAAAGCAGGCCGGGCCCCGGCAACTGCTGCTCCCCAGACCCAGAGGCGAAGCTGGGGAGCGCGCAGGGGTGTGCAGGACAGGTGTGCACCAGAGGAACCGCCGCCAGCAGAGAGCAAAGCGAGTGCCCGGCGTCGTAATCACAGAAATCCACAGGACGGTGGTTCATTTGATCTCAAGGTGCCTCAGAGAAGAGAAGACGATCCGGGAAGCGGCTTCTGCCCCTGCGATTTCCAGGCTGGGTGGCAATCGCGCCACACGGTGACATTTGGCAGTGATCAGAAGGCAGTTCGGCAAGCGCAATGCGTCCAGGATCAGCGGGCGCATGTTCCCAGCCCGCGCCTCCGGCCTCCTCACCCACGATCCACTCTGGGTCTGCACCACCACCGCGAAAGCAGAGCATGCCCACCGCTGCCACTCGTGGGCAGAGCTGGGATCGGCGCAAGGTCCCCCAGATGCCCTATCCGCCCGGAGCACTCCAGGGGCAAAGCCGCATCGGCCCCCGGGCAGGCCTGCCCTCCTCCATCGACCCCAGCCTGGGCCAGGGACAAGCTCACAGGAGCGCCGGTCAGCGTGCGGCCCTGGCGGGCATCCCCCTCAACCGCCTCTCAGGCTGTCTCACGAGAAAGCAGCCCCAGCACCACCCCGGACTGCCGCCCGGGCCAGAGGGCAGGACAGCGAGGCCCCCAGCCCACTGCTCCCCCACCCGCCGCTTCCGCTTACCTCTGCTTTCGGGGTGGTGGCTCTCATCGTGAGCGCCGTGCTGCGGGGGCGCAGCGTGGGGCTTCTTCCGCCTCTTTTCCTCCTGGAGTTCCTTCTGCTGCAGAATCCGAGCAATGTCCTGAAGGGGGGTGGGCGCTTATTTCCTGAGGGCCTCTCCAGGCCTCTCCCCATTTTATTTGCCGCTTTCCAGGATCTGGGTGCGCACAGGGCAGCCTTTCTAGCACATCTCGCTGGGAGCTGGCTCATCCCTTTCCGGCACCCCCGCCACCCCTCGAAACGTGCCCTCTGGCCCTTCGGGACGGGTCCCCACCCAGCAACAGCGCCTTCCCTTCGCACAGCTCCTCGCGAAACCACGTTCTGGAGATGGCCGCTGCGTTGTTGGGCCAGACGGAGCACCTCCCTCCGCCCGCGGCCTCAGGGTCTACCTCGTCATCCTCCTCCTGCCGGCGCCGCTGCTCAGCCTCGATGACCAGCCGGACTTGGATCTCCTGCGCCATCTCGCAGTCCTGCCGCTCCCTGAAAGGCGCAGGGGAGAGCAGCGGGCAGAGGTCAGTGGGGCCGAACGGACGGGGTGAGAGGACACCGAGGGATGCACGAACTCACCTCTTCCTCCGGGAGTGTGTGTCAACTGACCCTCTTGCTCCCAGACAAGCCACGCTGCGCAAACCAAGAATAAACCTTGCTTTGCAACCATGGCTTGCCTGGGAGAAACAAGCAGGATCCCCAGTTTGGGCGACACCGCAGACAACCCACCCTTGGTTTGCCAAACCCCCTCACCGGCTAGAGCGGCAAGCCGGGGACCGGTGGCTGCAGATGGCAGCACCCACCTGATTCAGGTGAGCCGGCACTCCCCCAACCCGTCTCGGCCCCCGCCTGCGCAAACGCGGCCAATATGCCCATGCAGCAGCTAAGGTAAGAGGGTGCCACCCACTCCGTTTTTCCTGTTCGTCCTTCCGGGATCTGCTGAACTGAATGAGGGGAAATGCACGAGCAAAGACTTGAGGCCCCGGGAGCAGCTCTGCATCACACGCAGAACATCCCTCCGGCGGGGTCTGGAATGCTCTGCTTGCACGATGAGGTCATCCAAGGGTCCCCCATAATGCCCCCCACAGTTCCGGGCTTCCTCACCACGCACGGGGGTCTGATGCCCCCCACCCCCTTCCTCTGGGCCTGCAGGTCCCTCACGTTCCCCCTTCTCAAAGAGGGCTCGACAGGGCTCCCCGGCCACCATGCCGCCCAGCGCTGGGCCAGGGGAGCTGGAACGGCCCCTCAGACGCAGACGCCCCCAGCCAGCCCTCCCCAGGCGGGCAGCAGCTCCTCCCCCCTGCGCCACGCAGCTGAGGCGCCCCCACCGGCACACTCACAGGTCTTTGTGGTGCTCCTGGATGCGGGCGCGGGCCGTGCGTTCCTCTTCCTCTTGCAGCCGCTTGGCCACCTGCAGGTCGTGCTGCACCAGGCGGTTGCGCTGGACGTTCGTGGCCAGGTGGTGCTCGACTGCGGGGGGGCAAGGAGAGGAAGGCCAGTCAGGAAAGAGCTGGGCGGGGGCCACCAGCCTGTCCCGGCGGCCGGCGGCTGCTGGCCCTGAGGGACGCCTCCCGCATCAGAGGCAGCAGGTACCGCAGGGCAAGGGGACAGAAACGCCCTGCAAGGAGCCAAGCGGCTTCCGCCAGCTCCTCCGCACTGCGTCCTCACGACACCTCTGTGAGGAGGTGGGGTTGAGAGTTGGCGACTGGGCCAAAGTCTTCCTCGAGCTTCTTGGTCAAGCGAGGACTAGAACCTGGCTCTCCGGAGCCCTGGCCCAACACGCTCACTACGGCACCACACGTGCTCCCGCGAATGTGGGCGCCGAGCACGGAGCAGGTCCAGGCCTGCTCTCGACAGCGTGAGCCACCCCGGACGTGATTTTGCACGCCCCGCAGCTAGAAGCCGCACAGGCGGCTGCGCCCTCTTTAACTGGATGAGGCAAGAGGGTTCCAGCGGCCGGTCCCGTCCCTGCCCCGGAGCAGCAGATCCAGAAGAGCCAAGTCATAAAGGAAGCGCAGACCACAAAGAAAACCAGCCAAGATGCAGAGCACAGACGGAGGGCAAAGGAATTGCGCGCGGCTGGCCAGGCGAGACTTACTTTCCTGTTCCTGCAGGCTGTGGGCCAAGGTGTGATCTTCCAAGACCGCAAAATCTCGGCACACTGTGAAGAAAAAGCAGGCAGAGGAGGGTTACGAGAGCTGCGGGGAGGGCGAGCCACCTGGCGCGAGCCGGGCGCCTCGCTCCACCGCCCACAACTCTTCCAGCCACCGCAGGCGGCAGAAGCCACCCCAACACACAACGCGCCACGTTGCCCCACAACACACAAGTTGTTGCTCTTTGCAGGCATCGCGCACAAGTCCAAAAGCGGAACAGCCTAAGCAGTTTCAAGGAGAAGGCGAAAAAAGGAATTATTTTACAGGGCAAACTGTGGAAATAAATACTAATGTCTTGCTTGCATTGTCTGTGGATAATATTCAGAGCTTTAAAGAAAGGCAGCTGGGGGGGGCGGGGGAGCCGTCCGGGGCTGGGTGCTCACGTGATCCATTGCACTCCCGAGATGAAGCCCGTCAGAGCAGAGGCAGCCTCTGCCCAAAGGTGGAATTTTGGGCATTTTGCCCATCCGCTCCAATTTTGCCCGATTTCTTCTGCGGCCAGTTATCTGAGGCCTGGCACACACATGGTGGGGTTGCCCTGGGCAGGGGGTGCCCCCAAAAGAGGAGGGCAGGCAAAACCTGGAAAGTGCTGTGGTTAAGCACTTTGCAGCGCTGGGCTGGGCAAGAGCCTGCCTTCCCCGCCCCCCCCGCCCCATGTTGCTGCCCAGCTGGGCCAAAGCGAGCCCCCCTGGCGGGGACACCCCAGCAGCCCCTCGCCTTCCCTGCAAGACACACGGAGTGGCCACAGGAAGGAGGCAGGCGCCCCGTGCTGCACGGGGGCCAAAACCTTGCAGGCCCAGCCGAGAGCGGCTTCGGAAGCCCTCTCTGACGAGCAGAGGATCCGCCAGGCCTGATTCCCTCCCTGGGGAGGCCCCCAAGTCCAGCTCGGTGTCTTTCGGAAGCACAGCAAAGGCTCACCTGTCCAGGACAGCTCAGCAACCTCAGTTCAAACCACTAGGCAGGGAAGGGAGCTGTTTACGTTTAATCTGGTCCTGTTTTGACGGGATATCAAACTGGGGCATCGTGTGGCGTTCCCAAGGCTCCTGGCCCTCAGCGCAAGCTGGGCGACAGAATCCCCTTGCTCCTGCATCACCTCAAGCACCTGCGCCTAACGATCTGCCGAGCCCTGAAAGGGCGCAGTGACCGATGCTAAACCACACAGGAGCAGCGCCTCCTTGATGCTCCAGGGCGGACAGCGGGCTGCGCACCTCGCCGGCTTCCTGTGCACGGAAATGCCAAGGACATGGAATGGTACCTCACGGACCTCAGCCACACCCCGGCACATCTATACCAACGAACTTCAGAACTGCCGGGGATCGGGGACCCCGGAACTGCTCTCTGAAAGGGGCAGCAGCACTGAACCGAGTCCAGGTCAAAAGCAAGCAATCAGCCTTCTGATTTTAGGGAGGAGGAATGCCGAGGCTGAGAGAGACGGGCCTCCTCGCTCTCGTTAAAGTTCCGGGAGGCAGAAGCCCTGGAGGACCCGCTGCAAAGCGCCAAGCGGCTTTGATCCAGGCCGCCCTTCTGCTCGGTTCTGCAGAGAAGGAACGCAAAGCAGCAGGTGGCAGAAGTTCCGCCCCAGTCGGGCGTGAGCTTGCGCAGGCTGGCTGCTGCCTTAGCTCTCCATCTGCCGATCGATCGATCTTATTCCAGCCAAGGCTATCGAGCAAAGCCCTGTGGGGTCAGACCGGGGTCCACCCAGTCCGGCACTCTGTTCGCACGGGGCAAACCAGCTGCCCCCAGGAGCCCTCCAGCAGGAGGGGGGCAAGGCCTGCCCCTGCCCAGCTCCTCCGCCACTCGTGCCTGCAGGCTCGCTGCCTCTGGGGAAGGGGGCAGCCCAGAGGCTGCGGGGCTGCGGTCCCATCTCCCCCACCTCTTCCCTCCCGTGCCACTTTCCTCATGTGCTGTGTCTCCTCAGGCTGCAAACCTGCAGTCAGAGTCTGTCCTCTTTCACGGATTCTATGCTAGCTGCTCCGAGAGTCTTTTTTGGCTGACAGGCAGGATAAAAATACCTTAAATAAATAAATAAACCAAGACAGACTCCCGAAATAGCAGCCGAAGCATCTGTTGTCAGGAAGGCTGCTTCCTGCAGAGCGAGGAGGGGTCTCGCGCTGGGAACCCGTCCCCCTCTGCCCGCTGCCTGCCTGCATCTGCCCACGCAGACACCGGTCCCTTGGGGCACGCGTCCGGGGGAGGACGGCTGAGTTCCCCAAAGCGTCTCTGTGGGGACCGGCAGCGCCCCACACGGGCCCAAGCGGTCTGCAGGGGACTGAAACGAGGCCCTAGGAGATCAACTGTGGGTTTCCCTGGGTTAGGGTTTGGGGTTTTTTTTAACCCCCCCCCCCCACCGAACGCGCAGCAAGCCTTCCCCAGAGAATATCTCCTTGCTGCTGTTCCCAAAACTCAAAACCAGAAGCTGGTGAGAAAGAGAAAGAGCAGCTTGGACCCAGCGCCACGGTGAAGCGAGCGTGCAGAAGGAGCGCCAGGCCACCGTACGTGGCAGGCCAAGGGTGGCTTCCGCAGCTGCTGGCTGCCCACGGAGCGTGTGCCTTCAGGCCGGGGTCCCGGCACGCCTGCAGCTGGCCCCCGAGAAAGACGGCGCTCGGGGGCGGCCACTGCAGCTGCACGGCAGCTTGGCTGGGGCCGTATCTGAAGAAACGCCTCCCCTGGACTGTGCCACGGGGGCCGGGGGGCCGTTCCCGCTCCGTAAATCTCTGGCTTGCATGGCCACGGAGCACTGCTTGTCTCTGAGCGGGGCGTGAGCAGAGCTTTCCGAAATGCAGTCAAGGAAGCTCAGAAGCAAACTGCATCACTGCCATGCGGGGAGCAGATACCTCTTCCTGTGCAAGAGAGGGTGTGCAGAGGGACGTCACGCCCCCCTACACACACACACACACACACACACACACACACACACACACACACAGAGTGCCTTTCCGAAGCCAAGGGATTCTATTTCAGAAAGCCCACGGGGCTCGTCTGGTATGGGAACAGAGCGTGTGGGGGCGGTCGAAACCCTGCGGGTCCAAGATCAGCCTGGCAAGAAGGAAGTCCCCCTCACAAGAGAACGGTCTGGGACCATCTGGAGAGATGGGCTGAAGTAGAAGCAAAATTCACTGTCCGTATTAAAGCACAAGTGGGAAAAAGCCAAGAACTGCCACTCAGTTCTTGCTTGTTTGATCTAATGTGTGTGGGAAACTGGCCAGGAGCAGCAGTAATAAAAATACTAATAATGTCAGTGGTGATTCATTACAGAACCACAGTCCAGTCTCATTCGGACAGGTGGCCACATTAGTCTGGTGCGACAAAAACAAGGAATTTTGTGGCACCTCGTCAGATTAGCATATTTCTTACGGCAGAAGCTCTGCAGACACAGCCTCTTCGTCAGATATCGTTTCAATTAGGATCAATAAATTAGGCTCGTAAGTTGTCCTATAACAAAGCTCTCTTTTCATCAAGTTTTCAAGCCTTCAAACAGTAAAATACTAAAAACACAAATAAGGGTTAAAAGAAATAGCCTCACACCACAATTCCACCCCCCCCAAAATGTAAAGCACAGGGATGCAGAAATGAAATGAAATAAAATACACACTTCAGTGTCTCTGGAGACACCTACAAGTCTATGCATGGGTGCTCAGGGATGGGGGCTGGCAGACCCCGGCGGGGGCCACGCCACGTGGGGCCGGTGGCCATCTCCTCTCTTGGCCGGGGAGGCAAGTGGCCTGAACGCCAACAGCCGGGCTTGCGGCGTCCTCCCTCGCTCTGGGCAGACCAAGCCTGCAGGTCACGTGGGCCTCTGCCCAACCCTTGGCGAGCTGCAATGAGCCGGGCGAGGCGACCTGTGGCGGCTCTGCAGGCACATCATGGGCTTTCTGGACCCCACGGTATCGTCGCGGGCGCCGCCACTGCAGTTCTGGCCCAAATGCGCTTCATGACTCCTCCTCCTCCTCCCGAATATATTACATTCATAGCCTGCCTCAGTTCTTCTTGCGAGGAACCCAAGATGGCTCACACTGTCCTAACATGGATACTGATCTGGATCTGCATCTTCAACATGCAAAATGTCCAGGAAACTCTCGCTTCGTATTTGCATCTAGGCATTCCTTTTGCAAAGGCACTCGGGACTGTGTGTGGGAGATTTCTTTTTATTTTTGTGTACTTATTTAATCTTACTCTGCTTCTTATTTGATTATTTGAATTCATTTAACTATTTAAACTTGTTCTCACTGTTGTGTCAAGCCGAGTTGTGAACTTGTGACCACCGTTAATATGTGGGTGGGTAAGGTCAAGAGGTGGGTGGGTTGGTGGCCGATAGTTAAAAATTTATTCAAAATGGCCCTTGTGATTGGGTTTATTTTATTGTTTTTACTGATGTAATTGTTCTTGGATGCTGGCATGTAATTATGAGCATCCATATTTTTAGTGCTGCTTTTCTGTAAACTGTTCCGGGAACCATTCATGGCTGTTGAATGGTATATAAAATAAATCAATCCATCAAAAAAACCTCCCCAAAGAAGTCCTCTACCCTATTGCATCCCCACAACAACAACCCTGCAGGGTAGGGCAGGCTGAGTGTCTGTGACAGGCCCAGAGCCACCGCGTGGTCAAGCACCCGGATCGGCCAGTCCCCCACCCACAGCTAACCACGCTGGCACAGGCAGCTGGGAGCGCCCTAACCCAGCTGTGCAGACTCAGTTTTACCACGCTGGGAGTTCAAAGGGCGAATTCGGAGAGGAGTCGACGTCCTCCACTTGCAAACCAGATGTGTGTCAACTGAATTTCCAGATGTGCACCTGGAATGCTTTGGTCACACAGGCCGGCCAGATGCGGAGCTGCAGCTGTCTGTCTCTGGCCGCTCCCCACCCCGCACCTCGTGCAACCAAGCTGGGCCCAAAGCCCCCGGAAGAGAGCCCCCACATGGCCACTGCAAGGGGACGGCCCGGAGCCAAGAGGGCCCCCTCGTTCCACCCCCAGGGAGGATGTGGTCACCAGCTGGGCCAGGGCTGCAAAAGCAGAGCGTGGCTGAGCCGGCTCC